AACCCAGCGTAAGAAAAAAGCAACTGCCTGGACCAGAAGCAGCGGCAATGCGATTGGCATCCGAGCACAATCAAAGGAAGGAGAAATGAATCATCCTTCAGATGCGGCAGAGTGGAGATATTTCCAAGAGCAAAATCCCGAGTTTGCGGAAGAACCCCGAAATGTATATCTTGGCTTATGTACAGATGGGTTCAATCCATTTGGCATGTCTCGTAATCATTCGTTGTGGCCTGTGATCCTGACTCCATATAATTTACCCCCAGGTATGTGCATGAATACAGAGTACTTATTTCTCACAATTCTGAACTCTGGGCCAAATCACCCGCGAGGTAGTCTCGATGTCTTCCTCCAACCTCTTATTGAGGAGCTAAAAGAGTTGTGGTCTACTGGAGTTGATGCATTTGATGTGTCATTGAATCAAAATTTTAATCTAAAAGCAGTGCTGATGTGGACGATAAGCGATTTTCCGGCGTATAGCATGTTATCAGGATGGACCACCCACGGTAAACTGTCTTGTCCAATTTGCATGGAAAGTACAAAGTCATTTTATCTACCTAATGGAAGGAAGACATGTTGGTTTGATTGTCACCGAAGATTTCTTCCTCATGGTCATCCATTACGGAAAAACAAAAAAGACTTCCTTAAAGGAAGAGACGCTTCTAAAGAGTATCCACCTGAATCTTTGACTGGTGAGCAAGTTTATTATGAGCGGTTGGATGGCGTAAATCCACCAAAAACCAAGGACGTTGGTGGCAACGGTCATGAAAAAAAGATGCCAGGCTATGGGAAGGAACATAACTGGCACAAGGAAAGCATATTATGGGAGCTGCCTTACTGGAAAGATCTCAATCTGCGACACAATATTGATGTGATGCATACAGAGAAGAATTTTCTGGACAACATCATGAATACTCTTATGAGTGTGAAAGGTAAATCAAAAGACAACATCATGTCAAGATTGGATATTGAAAATTTTTGTTCTCGGCCAGCCTTACATATTGATAGTAAGGGTAAAGCTCCATTCCCAGCATATATATTGACAGATCAAGCCAAAGCGAGTTTATTGGAATGTGTGAAACATTCGGTTAAATTCCCAGATGGTTATTCCTCAGATTTGGCTACTTGTGTAGATATGGAGAATGGTAAGTTTTCAGGCATGAAGAGTCATGATTGCCATGTTTTTATGGAGCGACTACTTCCATTTATCTTTGCAGAACTCCTTGACCGGAACGTACACCTTGCGTTATCAGGTACTACTAATTACTTATTATTTGCGACACTTAACAATATATTATTCTAGTAATTTATCTAACAATTTTAAATGATGATGTAATTTGAATATATATTTCAGGGATTGGAGCATTTTTCCGGGACTTATGTTCGAGGACTTTACAGAAAAGTCGTGTTCAAATTCTAAAACAGAATATTATTTTAATCTTATGCAACTTGGAAAATATCTTTCCACCATCATTTTTCGATGTGATGGAGCACCTGCCTATACATCTCCCTTACGAAGCTGAATTAGGCGGCCCGGTCCAATATAGATGGATGTATCCTTTTGAGAGATTTTTCAAAAAGTTGAAAGGAAAAGCAAAGAACAAAAGATATGCTGCAGGATCAATTGTTGAATCATATATCAATGACGAGATTGCTTATTTTTCAGAGCACTACTTTGCAGAACATATACAAACAAAATCAAGGTAAATGTGTATATATATATATATATATATATGTTTATATTTGGCATGTACTTCTAACATATTAACTCGTTAATTTGGATCAGGTTAACAAGATTCGATGAAGGTGAAGTTCATGTATATCATGTTCTTGGGGTACCTAACATATTTACGCAAGTCGGCCGTCCAAGTGGAGAAATGCGTGAAGTATGGCTTTCAGAGAAAGACTACCAAAGCGCACATGCATATGTTTTACGAAATTGTGCCTATTTTCAACCAATTGAGAGGTATAAAACATATCTTCCAAAAGTCACTCTTTAATTTACAATATCCACTATGATTATTCATATATTTTTTGTGTTTGTATAGTATGTTCGAGGATTTTCTTTCTGCAAAATATCCGGAATTGACCGAGAAAAAACTATACACAAAAAGAGCTGAAGAATATCAATTATGGGTTAAAGATTATGTATGTCAACATATTTTTTTTAAGGGTTAAGTGATGATCATTTATTTCAATTTCTAATTATATATATTGATGTATGTTTATATATAGGTTACATATTGGAACGATACTTCTCCATTTCCTACTTGGGTTCAAGAGATTGTACATGGACCTTTGAACAAGGTTAAAACTTGGCCAATGTATTTTACAAGAGGCTATTTGTTTCATACGCAGAATCACGGAGCTGGACGAAAGACATGTAACTATGGGGTAAGTGTTAAAGGTGAAAATTACGCGGATGCATCTGATTCAGCGGATTTCCACGGGAACTTAATTGATATCATAGAACTCCAGTATGAAGGCATGGTCAATTTGAGGATCACACTTTTTAAGTGTAATTGGTATGACCCTGTTATCGGTAGAGGCACTCGGCGGAGCCATAGTGGCGTTGTAGACGTTCTATCAACAAGAAAATACAATAAATACGAGCCATTTGTTCTAGGTACGTATACTTGTATATTAAAATTCTATATATTTAAAACATATATATTCCGTATATATATATTTATACATGAATAACTTTTGTATACAGCTTCTCAAGCAGATCAAGTTTGTTATATTCCTTATCCATATACGAAGAAACCAAAGAGCATTTGGCTCAATGTTCTAAAAGTGAATCCGAGGGGAAACATTTCAGGAGAATATGAAACCAATGACGATCCAACTCTTTTGCAAACAGAAAATGATGATGGTGTTTTGCTGACTACAATTGAAGATATTGTACTTGACAATTGAGTTGAAGATTTTGACCCAATAATCCTCGATTACGATGTTGGTGATGCTGAACCAGAAGATGAATTCCAGTGTAATTTATCGTCTTCTGACGATGACGAAACATGGTTTGAAGAGCGCTACTAAAATCCATAACTATTTTATATTTATTTATGTAATTGATGTTTAATTATTAAAATTATAAATAAAACATGTTTAATTATTATTTTACTGAATCCCATTATGTTCAATTAGTTAAATTATGTTAATTATGAAAAAAATTAAGTAGTGATTTTTTTACCGACTAAAACGCGACTAATATTGGGCTAACAAATTAGGAGGCCCAAACCCAATTCCAGTGTAGCGACTAAAAAGTGATTACTCAAAATGTTTGGGCCTTTTACGAGGCCAAAGCCCACTAACACTTGGTAAAAATGAAGGAGGAAATCCTAGTTCTTCATTCTTCTCTTGTAACTGTTGTTATTATGATTAAGGTTATTATTGCTTTCCCTTAAAAGTTAATTTTGATATTTAAAAATAGATATAGAATGAC